TCTAGTATAATAAAATTGACAGAAAAGCGATGTAGCAATACGACGCTAACACAAAATGAGTTTGGCGAAGGAGACCATCGCTTTGTAATCATACTGTAACTAAGATTATTTATTTCTGGATATACAATCATAGAGAAAGGGATGAAACAAACAAATAATTTACATCCTACTTGTATAACAACAACCAATGCAAGAAGAGATCATCTTTAAACACCAAAAAAGTGCACTCTTTCAGCTAGATCGTAACTTCAAAGAGAATTTGCGAAAACATAAAGAGTGTAAGATAAGCAAATCTCCGATAAGAAATTGAAAAGATATAGGAGAGGTTGAAAGTAGTGAACACAGTAGTAATGAGGTGCATTCAAGGACAACGATTTTCAACAATGGTTCGGCCAGTTTCATCATATTCTGACTTGGCAATCCACATTTGTTGGAAGGAACCCTAAACATTATACTTCAAGGATATAACACAACATTGAAATAAACAGAGAACATATTAGTAAACCAAAAGCAGAGTTCGGCAAAGCCAAAACATTACCAAAGATCCCAAAATCGAGCCACCGATCCAAGCCCCAAACCGTCTTTCCATTGGAGTAGGTGCGGCAGAGACTCTCAGTTTGATTGTCTTGAAATATGGTACATCATATAAGGAGGAAGTTCGAACTAATCATTATATCACAATCAGAACAGAAACTCCTGACAGTGAAGCGGCTTCTAGTCTGCGCCTCTGAAAACTACATACCGGAGGACACTTATGAGCCAGATCATGATTGAGTCTTTCCGTGAATCCGAGGATAAGTGAATTTCCTCCAGTCACCATCAATCCACTATACAACGTCTAGAAAACAGCGCAAGATAATATTGGATGTAGAATGAAAAAAAAAGACGCTCACAGGTCGGATATCTATGTCGCACATGCCGGCAGCCGTAGTAGCAATTTGTGTGACATTTAACAAAGTAGACTGTGTACCGGGTACGTTTCGAAGATACTTTAAATCAAATAGAGCTTCGGGAACTTTGATTCGCTCAGCAAGAAACTCCTAAAAAATAATAAATAAACTAGAAAGAACAAAACTAATCACCCACTCAGCAATCTGAGAATATATATATATTTATATTTATATATATATGGAAAGGGAGACAAGATCCCATAGATGAATTTGACTACCTTTAACTTAGAATTAAGCTACAATCGCGTAAATGGCACTGTGATACAAAGTGGTGAGTAGCGCCAATACGCCTAGCCTAAGTTTGCAACAAGATCTTACAGTAATAAATGGTTTCATAACTAGCTCAGCCTGCTGAACAATTGAAATGACAAGTCATAAAGCTTTTCTAGGACAATCTTTGGACCAATGCTAAAAGCGCCTTAGCCTACGTCAGACCTATCTACCTGTTCGTAGTTGCAATCCAAGTTCATTGACTCTTCAAGGAATAAATGAAGCGCAGAGGTTATAATATATCCATACGGGATTAAAAAACTTATAGGCGTTCAAAAAGCGGGCACATTTTTTGAAGATATCTTATAAAACAATCCGACATAATGAAAAACAACCTGCACTTTACTATAAGATTTTCCGGTAGATATTATTAGGGATACAAAACTGAATACGATTTCGCTAGAGCAATATCTTTGAAGCTTCTGTTACACATGGATTACTTTTAAGCTAAGCCTTGAAGATAGTTGAAAGTTAAATGTGACTATTTAATATAAATGGAACCTTTTCAACAAATCTAAAGAAGGAACTGAGCAGAGAAGCAGGTCGGGATAAAAAGTATCATCAAATTTAATGCGCATAAGTACAAACATCCTATTAAGAAAACTGTTTCCTTTGAAAAAATGTCAAAATTAAGTACCGCTTGAAAAACATGAATAAACATTAACAAATGGGATTTAGGCGCCTCTTTAAAATATGAAGAAATAATAAAGACAGATGACAAATGAATGAGAGCATAGCGTGTAA